GGAGTTGGAGTTAAAAAGAAGCTGAGAAGATTTCATCAAGTCAAAGCTATTATTTACAAAATCTTGATGGCTTGATTTCACAACAAAAGATTTGGATAAATATTGAAGACTTTTGCCAACTTGAAGACTTTAACCATTAAATCTTTATTTAGACGGGTAAAATAATCATGGAGCAACAACCTGCAGATTTGGGAATCAACATATATGCAGTTTAGATAGGATTTCGACTCCTATATCTTTGAGATTTCGGTTGGCAAAAAGACACTATAAATAGAGGCTTGTTAATTGATCAAAAACAACACCCCCATAGCAAGCATTAGGCTGCTACCACTTTTTTCCATTTTTGCCACCATTTTTATTTTAGCTTTTTATTTTATTTTGTTTTATTTTAAACCTTGAAAGATGTTTTTAGTCACAATGAAAGGCTAGTTTTCTTCATTTGGTTCAATGATTTTTATTCTTTTATATTATATGTGAGACTACAAGTTTCACTTTATTTCTTTCTACTTTTAATTCAAGTACTTGTTGATTTTAATTTCTTTTTATGAGAGTAGATACTTTATTAATCTGACAATTTAATCAAGTATTTTCATCCTACTGCTATCAAATTGTTTATGCTGCGCTATCGTCTTAAACATTTGGCGCTAAGCAGCACATTAGCAGATTATGCATGTTGGTAGTGACACGTTGAATGTGCATAATAAATCTAACTAGGAGATCAATAGGACAAAAATATTTTAATTGCAGCTATCTCAATTATTTTATTTTTGGTTCAACTAAATTTTCAAAGTTTTTATTGCTAGTATAATTTAACATGGAACGCTATAGTGCCCAGTTAAATTATACTAAGTTTTGATTAGGTGCTGGGCTTGATCAAATATTTTTAGAAAATATAAGGTTTTCTACGGCTATCCTATTAAGTCTATGGTTGAATGCTTGAGTTGTAGAAAAATTTATTTTTAGTCGATGATCTATAATATATTTGAATCATTCCTTGAACCAAAGTTTTTCTATTATTAATTTTCTCTACATTTTTATTTACTTCAAATTGTCATTTTATTTTAAAGAAGAAAAATCCCCCCTGTTTGCATTTTTGTAAAGCCAAGTGTTAAAATTTGGCTCTCTTGGGATTCAACCTGATTCCACTGTTTTTGCAAATTAATTTTGGTCTGTTAGGAAATCAGATTAATTTTTGTGGGTCTCGGCAAACCCGTTAAAATTTTGGCGCCGTTGCCGGGGAGCCACTTCCTTTGTCTCTGGGTTTTATTATTTTATTACTCTTTTTCTCTTATTCCAAAATGAAAAAAAAAGTTGATTAAGTTTTAGTGTAGCAGTACTTTTTTTTTACTATTATTATTATAAAAATCGATTTTTTTTTTGTTTTTATCTTGTGTTGTTATTTTCTTTTTCTCGCTAGTTATTTTTTACTTCGTTCTAATTCACAGGCCATCATTTCCATTGCAGATCATCTTTTACCCAGCATCAGTGCATCGGTTGGCCTCCGATTTGGGATTTTAGTCTTTGAAAATTTTCTTTTATAGTAGCCACTAACGGCTCAATCCAGGGACCAACTTGTTTTTAGTGGAAAAGTGTCATTGTTATATTTATTCGGATTTTGAGTTGTGTTCTTATTTGTGCAATTTTTTGTGTTAAGTTAATAATTGCCTTATTTTGTTTTTATTTTTTTTAATCTAACTGTCGTTCTCTACCATAATTGTTTCTAAAAAAAAAAGTCCCATTTTTTTTTGTGTGCAATAAGAAGTCTCCTTGTGTCTGTTTATTGTGCTGTTTTGCATCTCTATTTATCCATGCGAATTATTTTAAAATTTTGTTGGTGCATACTAGTAACTATAAGAATTTTATCATTTTAGATTGCTAGTTTTTGTGCTTTTTTTTTTTGAGCTTTCTGGTTTATGAGTAGTTGTCGTACTGGAAATAGTGTTCTTAATTACATACCTGAGATTGAAAAAGCTGCTCGTCTGTTAAGAAAAGAAACTAAGTAAAAGAAAGCTAATTTACATTCTAGGGTGAATTTAGATTTTCAGTCATCAAATTTTGATTTTGATTATAGGAAGAAGAAAACATGGGTGAAAATAATAGAACTTTGAAAGAATTAGCTGCACCAAACTTGAATCAGCAGCCTCTGTGCATTAATTTTTCAAATGTTGAAGTAGCGTTTGAGCTTAAATCTGGTCTGATACATTTACTTCCTACTTTTCGCGGTCTTGCAGGAGAAGACCCCCACAAGCATTTGAAGGAATTCCATGTTGTCTGTTCAACAATGAAACCACAGGGTGTTATTGAGGAGCAGATTAAACTAAGAGCGTTTCCTTTTTCTTTAGGTGATAAGGCGAAGGATTGGCTTTATGATCTTCCCTCAGGTTCATAAGTGATAGGCCTACCACTTATCACTTAACACTTAATTATGTAATGACTCTTTTTTTCTTTTTTTTTTCCTTTTTTTTTCCTCGTCTTTATTTCGATGCTTACTTTTACATTATTGTTTTAAAAGAAATTTATTTTCTTAAGATAAATTAATTAAGAGTGCTTAGTTTGAATTTATATATGAGTATAAAAAATCTCATACTTTTAAACTCAAAATAAACTAATTTTAATACATAAATTTGCTAAATAACAAGGTATACATATAAATTTAATTATATATTTATTATTAACCAAGTTTAATATATACATTCATTAATATACCAAAAACTTATTTTAAAGTTATTATTTTATTATTTAGAAAAAAATATTAGTTATTTTTCTATTTAAAAGAATTTTGTTTATAATTCAATTTTAATGATATTAAAAATTTAAATAACTTTCAGACCTGAGTATTCGGATTCAGTCTTCAGACTTTTGACTTCAGTCTTCAGACATTTTTATCAAACAATATAAATTCAGTCTTCAGACTTCAGTGTTAAGTGTTAAGTGTTTAGGTTCAGACTTCAGTGTTTATCAAACGGAGCCTTAAACTTAATCATTGATTAAGGACTTAACTAATTGAGGACTTAAATTCTAAGTGCGTTTGATAACTCAAAGCAGAATATTTTAATAAATTAAGTGAATTTAAAATGCTTGTATAAATGTGAGTCTAAAAATAATTGATAGCCTATCACTTATGTTTGAACTGAATTCTTGAGACAATTTTTTTTTTCTATTTATATGCTTTTATGTTTATACTTTTGATGTTTTAGCTTGAAATATTTTTATTAACCTTGGTGTTTAGTTATAAATAAAAATTATGTAGATTATTTTTTATTCGATATATATTTATTTTAATATAAAAATTAAAATACGAATAAAGTGCATGATAAATATTGTATTTATCTTAAAGATATGATTTTTTTTATAATGATAAAGATATGGTATTATTATATTAACTAAGAAATAATTACATGGTAAAATTTAAATATTTTTGTTATATAATTTTATAATAATACTATTATTTTTATTATCAAATTTTTATATAAATCAATTTTTTTTAGATAAAATTATAAGTCGAGATACTTTAAATTTTAATATTCAGACTTCACATTCATATATTTTATTCAGTCTTGAGATATGGATTTTCATCAACGGAGACAAACTTAATCAATTCAGTACTTATAGTTCAGTCTTTAGATTTCATACCCAAATTAAGTTTTACCAAACGGAGTTTGAATTGTGATGACGCAAAGCAATTAATTAACACTACCTCTAGTCCTTATTATAATGTATTATAATTTCTTTTAAACAAATTTTCATTATTATGTTTTTTAATTGAAAATAAAACTCAATTTTTGTGTCCTCCCAATTATTATATGGTATTTTAAAATAAATTTTCATCTTTATTGTGTTTCCTCAATTATTATTTATAAGGTAATGTCAAGGTTTTATTTTAATTATAAAAATACGATAAATAAAACTTAGGACAAATTAAAATGTCTTATAATAGGCACTGGAAAAAGTATTATTAAATTTTATAAAAGAAAAACAAGGAAAAAAGAAGAAAAAACTCGAACATAACTAACCACATTACTCCTACATTGGACAGACTGAGTATGTGTTTAAAGACGAAATTGTAGTCCAAAATTATAATTTACTAAAAATCTAAAAATGACAGTCATTTTGGGACAGAAAAGATATTATTGGAGTTTTTAATAAGAAACTTTGCCATCATATAATGATATATCCCTTGAAATAAAGAGTGGGAGACATACCTAAGAAACTTTTCATTCATTCTTCTTTTATTCTTACCTTGAAATAAATATATAAACATGTAAACAGGCTTCTTAAGACTCTGAAATTAAGCATAACTTCATAAAACTACCCACTAATCCACTACTAAACGTGATTGATAAAAAAAAGATGACTAATGCAATTAAAATTAACTAAAGTAATTCAATTACAGTAAAACTAATAAAACGATGTACTCCCTCCGTCCCATAATTATTGTCTACTTTGCCCAAAAAATTTTGTTCCAAAATTATTGTCTAATTTGACTTTTTATGGATCAAGTTACACATTTGTCCTTAGTAAAAAACATTATCCATAAAATCTTAGTGGTTAAACAATTACTTATGTAGGGGTATATCTGGTTGTTTAAGGTAAAATATAGTTAAGTTTGACAAAAACTAAAATCTTTCATTTTAGTAAAACTGGATAATAATTATGGGACGGAGGGAATACTACTTTCGTGACATTACAGTATTATATACACATCATGTATCAAATACGTAGGTAGGTTTTCAAGGAGGAAAGAAGTTCATGCCATTGCTGTGAGGACCACAGATTTCGCAGCCCATTTCCCAGAAAAAAAAAAAAGAAAATCCGAAGAGACAAAGGTGTGTATATCAGAATATGTCGGTGATGTGGTGAATCCAGTAAAGTGTAAGATAAAAGCAGCGAACGTGTGGGCTGAGAATTGAGATCGTTCTCTTTTTGTTTTTGCTATTCATCTTCTTGATCAGCAAAATTCATTTCACAGGCAAAAGAAGTAGTAAATAAGGACTTTTGTGATGGATGAAGAAGGCTTGCTGCAAAATGGTGATGATGTTGTGCAAAACTGTATGACTACTAGTAGCTCCACAAAAGTCACACTTGCTGTTGTTTTCAGCAGCTTGGTAGCTTTATCGGGTTCTTTCGCGAATGGTTGCGCTGTACGTTTAATGTGATCAAATTTAGTACTCTTTATTCGACAAAATCCAACTATTTTTCTGAGACGGGGAAGGGATTGTGGTGTTGTCAGTCGCTTTGTTCTTGAATAAATGAATCAGGCTCTGTTGCCACTCATTTGTAGCAACTATAGTTCATCTCTGTTCTTGAACAGAGGAATATCTTGTGTTTCCTCAAGTTTTGTACTATGCCTTTTATTTTCTATTTATTTATTTATTTTTGGTTTGGGTCCAGAATGGATTCTCATCACCTGCTGAATCTGGAATCATACATGATTTAGGCCTTTCTACTGCGCAGGTAATTTTAGTCCATTCATCCCTGTCTCTGTTTCACATATCAATGCATTTTATGTTTTGGTGCTTATTTTTTGATGCATTTTGGCCTTGTGACTTTTTGATTAGTTTCTTTTCTTTCCAGTATGCATTTTTTGGGTCCTTGAGTTTGTTTGGATCGATGTTGGGAGCAATCTTGAGCGGCAAAGTAACTGATTTCATGGGTCGCCGAGGCGTGAGTTCTGTTCAATCTTCAATCACCAACTTTTGACTATCAATCGGTTTGGTGATTTTCTGTCTCTCCATCACAGGCATTATGGTTTACTTTGATATTTTTCATGATTGGATGGCTGGCCATCGTTTTAGCTAAGGTTCTTCTTCTTTACAACATCTTTTCCTAACAACTAAGAACAAAATCTTCATTGCATTATTAACTCTGCCTATGATGAACTAGGGGAAGAACAGGAAAGGTACAAAACTTTGGACTAAAATTCTACCAACTCAATTTTTTTTTCCCTTTTTGGTAGGACGTCTGGTGGCTTGATTCAGGAAGATTTTTACAGGGATTCAGTGGTGGTGTTCAAGGTTATGCGGTACGGATTTGTATCATACCATGTTCAGCCTGTAACTACTCCTAGTTAGTCTCGACACATTCACACTGCTGATTGCTTGAATTTGCAGTCTATCATATATGTTGCTGAAATCATTCCAAAAAGTATTCGAGGAGCATTCACGATGGCTAGCCAGGTATGCTGGAAAGCCAATGATTTCTCTAACGAAGGCGAAATCTCTCTAATTTGTATCTCCTTGCAAATTTGCAGTTAATGGTATGTGGAGGAATCACGGTAATGTTTTCCGTTGGGAATGTACTGCCCTGGCGAACTTTGGCCTTAATCGGTAAAACTACTTAGGCCATTTTTGTTGCTTAGGTTATTGTCTGCATTCCTTATAGAAAATACCACATTCTGTTTCCAGGAACCATACCATGTATCATACAATTCATTGGGTTACTCTTCATTCCAGAATCTCCTAGATGGTTGGTGCGTTTCAATTTGATGTTTTCATGAGTTCCTTCTGTTTTTTCAGAGTGTTTATTTCGGCAAAAAATTAAAGGCCAATATGAAGTTGACAGATACATTAAGATTTTGACAGAGTATGCTGTGTTGCCCTGTAGGCGAAAGTTGGCCGACATGAAGAGGTAGAATCCAGTCTTCAATGGCTTCGAGGCAAAGATACTGATGTTTCCCAAGAAGCAGCTGAGATACTGGTATCATCTGCAGATAATTTAGCGCTTAGTTTGCCAGTCATTCGTTAATTAAGTTGCGGAAAATGACCTAGCTTTGGATTTCACAGAATTGCACACAATCGTCAGATAAGCTGTCAATTTTCAGATTTAAGGAGTTACTTGACAAGAGATATGCTGATCCACTCATTGTGAGCAACAAATTCTGATCCATTCAAACACTTGTACAATTTTCCATTCTATTTTTTGAGATACTAACACACTGAATCACTTCAGGTTGGAGTTGGGCTACCTTTCTTGCTACCTTGGGCAGGCACCAACGGAATCCTGCTGTACGCGAATTCTGTATCTGATGCTGCTGGTACAATTTGCACCTCGAGTTACATGGATTTTTCATACTTAATAGATTGCGCAATTACATCGATGTTGATAAGTGCATATCATTTCATGACAGGTTGTGGACCTGGCATTGTTACCACTACCATGGCTTTTATTCAGGTACTCTGGACTCACTTGGCAGGATTAGTTAACGCACGAGTTCATGCTTAGCTTTTGGAGGCATGACCGGTAATTTTGTGTAGATTCCTTTCTCTGTTTTAGGTGTTCTGTTGATGGACAAGTTCGGAAGAAAACCACTTTTAATTGTAAGGATCTCTACCAACATTTGGAAGTTTAGAGTAAAAAATGTGTAACTAATGGGCAGAATTGCAGATTGATTTGGCGGGCGTATGTTTGGGAGGCATTCTCATTGGAGTTGGATTCCTCTTACAGGTTTTCTTAAACATAAGTACGCTTTGGAAATCATCCTGTTTTACTGATAGTTAATTTACAAAACTGATCATTCTCCTGGTTTAATGGCCATCATGAACAGAATTTGCAACTATGGACAAATGAAACTCCAACGATTGTATTCATTGGGATACAGGTATAAGTATCTCCCAAATGTTGTATAGAAGAGCAATATAGATTGGCTTTCAAGTCACTCATTTTCTTTTGGTGCCATAACACCAGATTTATTTTAGTTTTTTCGCTTTCGGAGCTGGTTTACCATTCGTCATCATCTCTGAGGTTTGTCAAATTCAATATGCTTCAAACTTTTCCTTTTCAGTAATTATGCACTAACTTTCTGCGGCTTTGCCATTTTTCCAAAGATATTTCCAATGAACATAAAGAGCAGTGCTGGAAGTATAGCTGCTTTTGCCAATAGTTTCAACTCATGGATCGTAGCCTACGTGTTCAGTTTCTTGTTCGATTGGAGCTCAGCCGGTAATCGCTTAAATCCTCCAAATTTATGTATGCTAATGTTATTGTAATACTTGAAATTGAAACGCGACATTTTATTTGTGTTAAAACTGTTGTGTTTTTTCCCAGGAACATTCTTCATATTTTCAAGCATTTGTGCGATGCTGATGGTGTTTGTGGTGAAGAAGTTGCCCGAAACAAAAGGCCGAAGCCTTGAAGAAATAGAAGCTTCATGGATTACACAAGAAGTGTACTAACTCTTTGGTGGAAATCATGTACAATTACCACCACAAAGTTCTAATGAGAACAATTTCTACTATAGCATTTGTTTGTACTATCCTATATTCCTCATTTGCCTTTATTTCAAGTAATGAATGTCTTAAATTTGTTGGTGAATGTAATGGAGAATAATGAAGTGATCTGGTGACATATTGAAACAGAGAAGGTGCAAAGTTCTCTGCTTTTAATCATGCACTTCCCTGGCTTCAACTCACCAAACCTATATACTTTTGGTTTTTTTGATACTTTCTTTGGGTGGGAAGAAATTTTGGTGGGGGTGCAAAACCTGCGGTCCTCACAGCAGTGTTACTGTTATTGGTAGTTGAACTTTACTCAAAATTTATATCCTAGTACAGTTTGTTGTCTTGTTGATGTTTAATTGATAGCAACCACTAAAAATCAAGAGAAAGAACATCACCACATGAATCATGAACTTGTGGCGTTTTATGCATGAATTGTCTTAATAGTATTAGTCTATTCTCCATCGATTGGGATCCACAATAGACTCTTACCTAAATGTTCGTGCCAATAAATTTTTGGAGCACGTTTGTGGGCTGTGTGAGTCAGCTCATTTAGAAACCAACCACAATTACCTTTGGTCGCTGAAAATCAAACTTTGGTTATGAATGCTAAACTTTGGAGTTTGGACTAGGTAATTACAAGCTGACAGGGACGGGTCGTACTCCTCGTGTTTCTTTCTATTATTGTTGATTTTAGTATTAAAGAAAAAATCGACAGGGAATGCAATTTTGTGCTGGATATTTGGAACGAGATGAGAAGCAAGGCAAATATGATGGATAAACGTCCAAATCATTGAAACCAAGCTTCATTACAAGATTTAATTACTCCCCAACCCCGCCGTTCCACGGAAATAAAAAAAGTAATACTGATTTACTTTGTTGCCGGAAAACTATAAAATAAAATAAAGTGCATTACTCTTCAGAAACCGATTGAGTATAAATTTAGAATAATACAAATAATTTTATTTTTTATTTTTATCAATCAACCCGACAACTGATTAGTGTAGATAAATATAGAAAAAGAAAAGAAAAATTCTTTGGACAATTAATGCTTTCGTAATATACACCAAAATAAACAAAAACAGCCCAATTTAAATCATCAGATAAATCTGAAACAAGTAAACAGCTACTGGCATTAAGTCGGACAAAATCTGAAATCATCCATGAATTAAAGGTTCAATTTTGGTTGGACTTGGAGGTAACATTAATTATTGTCTACATCACAAGAATAGATTCCCCTAAATATTGACCAACTCTCTCTTTGTTAGTTTCTTTTGAAATAAAGTTCTAATTTTGGAACAACACAGAACAGAAAATAGCTAATAATGAATATTGAATAAAAAAACATTTCTCGAATAAACGTACATACTACATATAGTGGCAAAAAAAAGCCTGGCGTCACTGGCTTGTGATAGTAACATTTGCTTCCATATTTTCTGGGCGCCCATACTATAAAATTGAGGACTGAACTTGAACTCACTGATATATTTGATCATAAAGCATCTTATTGCTTATACAAATTATCTTCTTCGTCTTGTTCCATTTTTTGGATTTCATTTTTGTTTTCTACCTGTGTTTTCGCATGCTATTGTATATTCCCTTCCCAATTTGGCTCGACGGAATTCGTCGGAAGCTTCATGACCATCCATTTCATTTGATGAGTCGCCTTCGGTCAATCACCATTGTTGATATTGATAAGCTTAAGATCTGCTATATATTGTGAATTGCAACGAGTCTTCTTTTTATCTTTTCCTTTGTTTTTTTTTTTTGGGTAAAAGGGAAATAGTATTATTATTAGTCACAAGGACATCTTCTGAACAAAAGTCTCTTTATCAGCATGACCTCATTTTCTGCGATTCAATTGTGATGAGACTTGAGGTGATTAGAGTTGTTGTTTTGATTCAATCGTTATGAATTATTGAATTGGTTCATGGAACAATAATTAAAGAAATTTGAAACGATTCCAAGAAAATAAATAATTACCACGAAGACAAAATAGTACTATATCTCTCTGTTTGATTAATTATCTAATTCATACTAAAATTTTGCCGTACGTTCCAATAAAAAAAATGTTTTTTGAGAAAAAGCAAGAACTGAAACTATGCCTGTAACGGATAATTTGGCTTAGACGCAAGCTAATTCAAACTTTTATATTTTCTGGATTCTTCTGTCACTTCCGCAAGCTTCTAGAGGACTGTTAGTTTATAATTTGCCCGCTAATCTAAACTGATGATCGGTTTGGACGGTTCCACTGGATTGAACAAAATCGTGAACATCCCTATGGACACCCAACTAAATCTTCAAATGAATTTTTATTTATTATTTTATTTGGGGGCTGTTTAGCCCCTTCAAAATTGTTTAGCCCGTTCTTCTCGATTTATAATTGAAAAGAACTGTGTCGGCTAAAAGCTCATGAGTGACTAAAATTGTGATGCCAAATGTGCAATTGAAGCCAGCTTAGATTTAGGAGAGTCAACTTTAAAACTCTACTAGTAGTTACTAGATGACTACATCTAATATCTACTATTATATACAAAAAGTGTAAGTTCCTGTTTTCGTTCATTCGTCGGTGAAATTTCCGAGTTCTTTTTTTTAAAAAAACATTTACAATAAAAAAGGAGAGAAAAAACTAGAAGTTAGCATTGTAAATTTCCATCTCTCTCAATTCCATATCAAACTAAAGATTAGATTCGCACATGAAAAAGAAGAGTTGGGGCTTGTTTGATAAAAATTAGTGCTTAATTCTGAATACTTAATACTGAATTAGAAATACTGAATTCATTAATCACTTATGGAATAAGCTAAATTTTTATTGTTTATATCTTGTACTATAGTTTTAGTATTACTTAATTTATTAAAATGTTCTTTTTTTTTATCAAACATTCTGAGATGAAAAAAATACTTAATTCAATAATTTTAAGCATTAAGTGGTTTTATCAAACATGTCCTTATGTAATCGAAGGCTAAATAATGGAGAAAATCACATGATTGTCACATTTTAGATTAAAAAAATGTATATATAGTTAGATTAGATGGACATTATCACATTAATGGAATTTTCTTTCGTAAGTACAGCTACCAATTATTTTTTAATAAAGTTGGTGCATATTAGCATTCATTAATTAAGTGATAATGATGATTTTCTTTTAATTACCATTCATTCGTTACAAGGAAGTAAACCATTTTTTCTTCCAAATCTTTTTGGTTAAAATTTTTAGTTATTTTGTTCTTAGTCGCATTTCAATAGTTCATTTTCTTGGATAATATAATGGTTTATTTTTGTACTTTCATGTGTTGCAAGATAATTCACTTAATGAGTTACTACTTCCATCATTTTTCTTAGATTTTAATCAAGAAAATTATTCCGCATGATAATAACAACATTATGTAATCTAGATGAAAAATGGTAAGCTAGATTTGAACTACATTTAACTTTTTTTTTTGTTGTTGCTAAAAAATTATTCCGTATGATAATAACAACTTTTCTTTTTTCTTTTTTTTTGTTGTAAATTTAAAGTTACTACTCAAAATAATGTTTTAGTTATTATTTGTTGCATCATTATTGTCAATACTAAACCAAAACCCTTTTTGGAAGGAAATGTTAAAAACAATACCAAAGTGGACCTTATAATGGAAACAGATTTTTTATTTTCATATAACAATGGTTATCCATTTTGCATGAATTTTAAATATTGAGTTTATGTCAAATAACCATGAGTCAATGATATATAACTAATGCTGACAATGATAATACATTAGATAAAAAGAACCATTTTAAAGTGACAGTATTACTCTTTTGATATGATGGGTCGGCATGGTATTGTGGGGCCATGAAGGCATGGTGGATATGGAGGGCAATAGTTTTCCTAGAAAAACAAATGTAAAACAAATTTTATCCTTATACTTAAATAAACTGGGAGGTTACTAAACGTCCTAATTTTTTCATTTAAACACCCTAAAAAATCTCAAAAAGACTATTTTATCCCTGAATTCATATATATTTTTTTTAAAAAAGAGTGTAGGCGATGGAGCACTGTGCCAGCCTTTCACGACTGGCGCAGAAGAAATGCGCCACCCTTTAAAGGGTGGCGCACAATTTTCTTTCCTCCGAATTAAGGGAGGCGAGAGGAAACTTTACCCCCAAAATGGGGGTGGCGCAAAAATCTGGCGCCACCCCATTCGGTTTGGCGAGCGTTTTGCTCGCCAAACCGAATTTACTTTTTTTTTTCTTTTTTTAATTTATTTAATTAATTAATTATTTTATTTATTTATTTATTTAAGTTTATTTTTTATTTATCTATTTGGCAGTTAAAAAATATTAAATAAATAAATAAAATTATTTTATATTTTTCCATGCTTTTTAATTTTTCATTTCAACGTATTTTAAATTTTATATTTTTTTCCAAAAAAATATTCCCAGGACGGCTAGATGCACCGATGATGAATAATTAATTTGTTTGATAGTAAATTCATAAGTTTTAGTTTTTATTAAATGATAATTTTTTGTTTATGTTTAAAAAATTTTACATAACTAAATGATAAATTTTTATAAAAATTTACTACATAATTAAGCAACATTCTCTAAATATTTAAGTTAAAATTATTTGTTTAACCACCAAATAAATAAAATTTAATAAATAAATAAATTAAGAACATATATGAATTAAATAAATTAAATAAATACATGAATTAAATAAATTCATTAAACTAATAATTAAAATAAATAAAAGAAATTAATTAAATACATTAAAAATAGTTAAATTAAAGATAATTAAATAAATAAATAAAAAAGTAATTAAGGTGGGTGGCGCACAAAATGGCGCCACCCACCCTTTGGTTGGCGAGCAAAAAGCTCGCCAACCAGAACAAATGTGGCGCCCAGAAGGGCGCCACACCTTCGCCATGCGGCGAAGGTTTTCTCGCCACCCCTTAAGGGGGTGGCTCATTTCTCCCTCGCCATACATTTTTTTTTTTTGCAAACCAACTTTATTTTGTAGGGACGTGTACGTCTTTTTTGGGCGTTCAAATGAAAAAATTAGGGCGCTCAACAGTACGACCCTAAATAAAAGGCACAGTAGCCAAGAAATAATACCCAAGAAATATTCAAGGACTACCGTCGAATCGATTTCGTCCGTCGGATGGGGTTGATATGATGTCAGCGATTTATTATGGGTAAAACAGGGATTTATTAAATCACTTTCAATAAAAGGCACAGTAGACAAGAAATAATGCCTAAAAAATATTCAAGGACCACCGTCAAATCGATCTCATCGTCGGATGGAGTTGATGTGATGTCAGCGACTTATTAGGGGCAAAAATAAAAATTCAAAAATTCAGTTTATTCCAATTAAAAAAAAACCTATAACCTTTTGAAAAAAATAACCCCTAACCTATAAAAGGACGTCGTTTCAAGATTTAACTTTGGAATCCCCACTCCTGAAAACAATATATTTACAAAGACTTGAAAGTTTTTGGTTAAAAAACAGCAACAAAACGACTTCGTCTTGTGGGTTTCTCCAGGGAAAAAAAAATAAAAAAACAAAAAATAACTCACTGTTCAAAATCCCAAAAAAACCCCGCCATTGTTCCCAATTTTTTTTTCCCACTAATAACCTCTATAAGGCAGTGTTTCGCCTACTCAAGTCCCCCTTCGTCGATTCAGCCGCCGCTGCCGCTTCCCTCTTTGCATCCTCCGCCACCACTAAACCTCGAAGATATATTTTCCTTAACATGCTTATCTAATTCGTACTATCCCGATTCTACCTCCAAAAATTTAACCAAACAAAAACCCTAAATTCCACCGGAGTCACCCCGTCGAAGAGATTTTGTAAGAATGACTTCCTTAACTTGTACGAGATCAAATTCGTGGGGGAGCAACTTCTTGTATTGTATCACGGAGAAAATAGAACTTTCTGGCTGAAACTAGGATATTATTAGATTAGTAATTGAAACTTCCTGGCTGGAATTTTGCAAAACTATGGAATTTGCGTAACAACGATGATGCTAGAGAAATGAAAAAATTGGAATCTTCAAAAAAAGCATGTGCAAAATACTTCATTTGATCACAGTTTCTAGAACTGTGGAAATCATTGCTCCCATATGATCAACTCCTTGTGCTACATATAGAAAAAAGAAAAAAAAAAGTGTTCCATATGCTCCAAATAGTTGGAGGATACGTCGATTGGCTTTAGTTAGCATTGTCAAACGATTTCTTCATTGTATACTAAGCATTTCTCAGAGGTTAAACACATGTCTTTTTAAATTTCAGATGCAGCAAAAAATTTGTGATGCATATCACAGTTCCAGATGCATGTCTGTCTGACAGATGCATCATTCTGTTTCGAGTGTTGCTTGTTGGATGGAGTTGCTTTGTAATAGGAGAGCTGCGGCAACTAAATTATAAATTCTCTGATAATGCAATGATTTTTTTTTTTTTGCACTTTTGAATACAGAATCCGCTAGAGTGTAACTTCCTGTTGTTTCCACTGGCCTGAGATCTAGTTTTTGAGCCTTGAAGGAATCAGAATGGCATGTACATGATTGACGACTTTTTGTAATTTTCTCGATGGCATCCTTTGGAAATGGCTTTTAAGTACAATCCCCAAGTTTAGACCTGTTCAAAATAAATGACAAGGCTCTTGCAGCTACATGAAGATGAGAAACGACCTTCAGACAAAAAAACATGCGTGGAAATGTTGACAGGACCAAGAATTTGGACGCGATGAAATCTGAACTAAAACTTAGCGAGGGGAAAACCGTGACTGATATTTCATCTTTTTGTTTTGTGTTTGTGTGTGTGTGTGTGTGTGTTTCTTTTTTCCCTTTTTTTTTCCCTTCATCTACACCATTTTCCCATGCATTCGTTTGATGCTTTTCTTCTTCTTTTTTTTTTTTCCTTTTTTCGTTTACAACATTTTGGCAAATACTTACTACATTTTAGCAAATGCTTCCTATCACATGCGGACTATCAAATTTGCAAGGAACAACCATAATACTATAATGTCAAGCTTCTAATTTGAACATGCGTCAAGAAAAAGAAAATTGAAATTTTTTCCCTAATTGACTATTTACTTACGCCGGTGGACGGAAACAAATATGATCATTCTGAATCTCTAAAGAACTAAGTTGGGTAACATATTGCAAATTATTATAATTGTTGCCAACTAAAATACTTACTGAGTAATTGTTGTGCATTCACTTGCAAATGTAAATCTGATTTGCGTTAAGGACTTAATTTCAATAACTATCGTTTTGTAGGTTGAAGTTTCAGAGATTATAATAAACACAAATCATATTTTATTATAAATATTTGTCAATATTGACATCGATATATAATATATTAAAAATACAAATTGATTGTGCAACACACGAATATGGGACCTCTTTAAAATAATTAGTTATAGTTTCAAAGATTTAATATTATTGGTTATAAGGTTATAAAAAAAACCTTGCCATAGAACAAGCGTTATTAAATTTTAATAATAATCAAATTGACAATTAATTTTGGAAACATAACAGATCTTAGATTGACAATTACAGAATTAAACCTGTCATATTTACTTATTCTTGCTAATGCCTCTTGATTTTCTTATTCAAGCCAAAACCATCACATATCCTCCACTAAAATAACTTGATTTATAAACTGCCTTATTTTAATTTTCGTTCTCTCCTCTTACAATCGTCCACCACCAAATGCAAAGATTTCTCTATCTCTCACAACAATTATATCTGCCAAAAAACTCTTTTCTAATACACGATTAAATAACGGAGAGAGTGCACGATAAAAAATCACTTCGTAAATCCAAAAAATCAATTAAAAAGAATAAAATATCACATTCATATGCACTATTACGGAACAACAAAAATTCGACCGAACATGAAGTATATAAAAATTTTAAAACCATAAAAAAGAAACAATCTATATATGTACTGGTCGCGCAACGCGCGACACGTAAAAGATTAGTTTCCCCAAAAAACCAATGATTCTTACATATTCAAACATACATATATTACATTTTTTTTTTGGGGAAAAAAGAGCAAAATCTATACATGATAAGGTCCTTCGACCATATTGATATGGTACCAGTCATTTTTTCTGTAATTTAAAATTGGAATAGAGAGAGACATATTGACAGTAATTGATAAAGGCAAAGAATAAATCAAATGTAATGCTATGACTGGATTTGTTCATAATTACCTTGAGAAGGGGTGAAAATTCTTAACAAAAAGATGACAAACACAAGGAAAACACGAAGATATATAGTTGTTCATATTTCTTGTGTACATGAATCTTCTGGACTAATTTGCTTTGTCTTGAGGTTCTCCTTCGGACTCAAAAATTAACTCTCTTATCACGTGTATGTACTGTATGCTTCAGGGATTTCTTAAAATTTCCCATTTCTATGTGACCTATGCTTTGAAACTTGAAGTTTGAACATGAACGTTGGACGTCAATTATTGTATCGAAGATCTATTTATTCATAAACATTCAAAAAAAAAAAAACAAAAATCTAAAATATTTCTTCACTAGAAAGTACTAGAAACTTACCAAATTCCAATAGGCTAAGGAAAAAGGGGAAATGAAAAATTTAAAAATAATAGAAAAGAAAAAACCAAATCGTAACAGGTAATCCGAGTCCTACAAAGAAACAGACTAGTTTCTTCCCTATATAAACCTCCCAATATCCCATAAGTTTTCTACATCGATTCCACATATTTTCTCATCTTTTTCTTATAGATTCAATTCAGACAATTAAACTTGTTCTGTATAGCGTTAATTGATTCATCAAATCCACAATGAGTAATCATGAACCCTCCGAATCAAGAGGCACTAAAAGGGATTTTAGTACGGCAATTTTAGAACGCAAGAAGTCGCCGAACCGCCTGGTGGTGGACGAGGCTACTAACGATGATAACTCCGTCGTCTCCATGAACCCGCAAACGATGGAGAAGCTGAATATTTTCCGGGGAGACACTATCCTCTTGAAGGGAAAGAAAAGGCGGGATACAGTAGCTATAATCCTCGCCGACGAGACTTGCGACGGATCGAAAATCAGGATGAATAAGGTGGTCCGGTCCAACCTCAGGGTCAGGCTCGGAGACGTTGTTTCAGTACACAGTTGCCCTGATGTCAAGTACGGGAAACGAATTCACGTCCTTCCAATTGACGACAGCATTGAAGGAATCACCGGAAACCTGTTTGATGCGTATTTGAAGCCTTACTTCTTTGACTCGTACCGACCCGTCAGGAAGGGTGACCTTTTTCTGGTCAGGGGAGGGATGAGAAGCGTTGAATTCAAGGTGGTCGAAACCGACCCGGCTGAATATTGTGTGGTAGCTCCTGATACGGAGATCTTTTGCGAGGGCGAACCGGTTCGAAGGGAGGATGAAGAAAGTTTGAACGATGTCGGTTACGATGACATTGGAGGCGTTAGGAAACAACTGGCGCTGATTCGGGAATCGGTTGAGCTTCCATTGAGGCATCCGCAGCTCTTCAAAGCCATCGGGGTGAAGCCTCCAAAAGGGATCCTACTTTACGGTCCTCCAGGAACTGGGAAGACATTGATTGCCAGGGCTGTGGCTAATGAGACTGGCGCTTTCTTTTTCCTTATCAATGGTCCCGAAATTATGTCGAAATTGGCCGGGGAGAGTGAAACAAACTTAAGGAAGGCGTTTGAGGAAGCCGAAAAGAATGCTCCGGCTATCATCTTTATTGACGAGCTCGATTCCATTGCTCCCAAGCGAGAGAAGACCAACGGGGAAGTAGAAAGAAGAATAGTTTCACAGCTTTTGACACTTATGGACGGACTCAAGTCCCGTGCTCATGTCATCGTTATTGGTGCTACAAATCGTCCCAACAGCATTGATCCTGCCCTTAGAAGGTTTGGGAGGTTTGATAGGGAAGTAGACATTGGTGTTCCTGATGAAGTCGGCCGCCTTGAGGTTCTCAGAATCCACACCAAGAACATGAAGATCGATGAAGGAGTGGATTTGGAAAGAGTTTCTAAAGATACACATGGTTACGTGGGCGCTGATTTGGCAGCTTTGTGTACTGAGGCTGCGCTTCAGTGCATCCGGGAGAAGATGGACGTTATTGACTTGGATGACGACTCCATTGATGCCGAGATCCTCAACTCCATGGCGGTTACCAATGATCACTTTCAGACTGCTCTCAGCACAAGCAACCCTTCTGCCCTTCGTGAGACGGTGGTTGAAGTTCCGAATGTCAGCTGGGAAGATATTGGTGGCCTCGAGAGTGTCAAGAGAGAACTTCAAGAGACTGTACAGTATCCGGTCGAACATCCCGAGAAGTTTGAGAAGTTTGGAATGTCTCCGTCCAAGGGAGTCCTCTTCTACGGGCCGCCTGGATGTGGTAAGACTTTGTTGGCCAAGGCGATTGCGAATGAGTGTCAGGCAAACTTTATCAGTATCAAGGGTCCTGAGCTGCTTACCATGTGGTTTGGAGAGAGCGAGGCCAATGTCAGGAGATTTTCGACAAGGCTCGACAATCGGCTCCTTGTGTCCTTTTCTTTGATGAGTTGGATTCGATTGCGACGCAGAGAGGAAACAGTGTTGGCGATGCTGGAGGTGCCGCTGATAGAGTGTTGAATCAACTCCTGACAGAGATGGATGGAATGAACGCCAAGAAAACCGTTTTCGTCATTGGCGCAACCAACCGACCCGACATAATTGATCCAGCGCTGTTGAGGCCTGGAAGATTGGATCAATTGATTTACATTCCGCTCCCAGATGAAGATTCACGGCACCAGATTTTCAAGGCATGCCTCAGAAAATCCCCTGTTTCTAAGGATGTGGACTTGAGGGCTCTAGCCAAGTTCACTCCAGGATTCAGTGGTGCTGATATTACAGAGATTTGCCAACGGGCCTGCAAGAATGCGGTAAGGGAAAATATCGAGAAAGGCAAGGAAAAAGAGAGGAAGAGACTAGAAAATCCTGATGCTATGGAGGTGGAGGAAGAAGATGAAGTTTCCGAAATCAAGGCATCTCACTTCGAGGAGTCAATGAGGTTTGCCCGTAGAAGTGTTACTGATGCGGACATACAAAAATACCAGGCCTTCGCCCAAACTCTCCACCAGTCTAGAGGTTTCGGCTCCGAATTCCGGTTCAACCAAACATCTACCGCGGACGCCGGGACAGCCGCAGCTGACCCGTTTGCAATTTCCAATGCTGGAGCTGAAGACGACGAAGACCTTTACAGTTAGTCTGCAATGGCTTTAATATTTATTAAGCGTTTAATGTAAGCTCTTTTAGTCGCTTTTTTTAATAATATTTAGACGACTCAAGTTAAACTGCGAGTTAATTTCATGGATGAATTCGTGTATGAAATTACATGAGTCCTTGTCTATGTTTAAATCTGAATGCTTAGATCAAACTAGTACTGATAGTTCCAGAACAACTCACACGTTTTGATGACTTGTGGTTATCCATTTTGTATCATCCAACTGATGAACTAAATCATATATAATGGAACACAATTACGTACAACAGACACAAAATTCGACCAAACTCAAAATTTCATGTTTTGTATAATTTACGTAGTTTTTTTTACGGTATTGTTGTTTGGTAATTAAAATTTTTATCTTTTTTGCTAAAATCTAAAAAACTATAGATCATTAAAAATTTATTGATTTTAAATTTAATTTAGTAGATTTTTTTTTTTCTAATCATGCATTCATTTTCTTTGAAAAGATGATAATTGACGTTGACGTTTTCTAATGTAATACGGAAAATTGTAAGTTAAAGTTTTGATTTTTCATGATTGATGTGATTGTTAACATGGTGCTAGATTGACATTGTGTACATTGTTTTTTTAATTTGGTTGCTGCTTTACACGAAATGAGCAAATGTTTGGTGTGCGACTGCTAAAAAATATATTGAAAACTTTAATCTCAAATTTTCTGTTGTCAAATTTTGTTATGTTTCTTTATTTGTTGATCATTGAAAAACATAATTTTTGTTGAAAAATTTGTGATGGTTGACTGTATAGTCAACTTAGCAAAGCATATGTCCACGAACCCCAATATTCATATCTTTATATAGTTTCAATGATTTTTTAGTGTAATCTTGTTTGGAGATGATAAATTTAATTTTAAAAATAAATAATTAAGAATATTATAATTTTATTGTTTCAGTTTTCAGGTGATTTTTTTTTTATAATCATACTGAATAAAAAAAAAAAACAAATTTCAGAGGCACTTCTGAATGGTTCCATGGCTTTGAGAGAGTTTTGCATAGTCGGCGGCAATCAAAATCATCAAAACATGTAGTCAACAATCAAAAAAACATACGGATAACCAATCTTAAATTGCGCTCCGTCTCTTCAGATCAAGAAAGCTTCAATTATCGGATCTCACTTTGACGTTGATCTAATTTCATGATTACCTCCCCAGTTTCAGAACTGGATTGTCTTGTCGACGTCAGTGAATGATATCTCCTTGCTATGCATATTATGTGGTGATTTTGGATATCATGATCCAATGATTACTGCTTCGACTCTTGTTTGGAATCTAGCTATGGAAAATTTTCGGTTGAATTCAACTATTTTTTTATAAAGTTTTCAGTCAAACGAGTTTGCAAGTATCAGAATTCTTGCCTAAGAGATAAGGCCCAAGAAATTTCAATATTGAGTTCAATAAATTTATATGAACCAACTCAACCTAAAAATCTCAAGGCGATATGTATTGGGACCAACTTTTTTATTAACTGCTCTTTATTGTTCTCAAATACTGATGATGATTTCAACAATTTTCTCCCATCATGAATAACTCACCATGTAGAAGTTCAATTATTTTTTTGAGTTGTAACCGCACTTAATCCACCTCCACTCCAGGTCGAAAAGGAGACAACTTCCGAGTATCGAGTTCCATGGATCAACTTAGGTGCACAATTCCCAAAAACCTAGATAGCCTACTAGGCCCACAAGATTTGGCTCTGATAGCATTTGTCGAGTTCCATGGGTCAATTTAAGTATACAACTCCTAAATAACTAGATAATCTACTAGGCCCACAACCTTTTGTTCTGATAGCATTTGTCAGAAATTTCGATACAGGAGATAAGGTATAAGGAGTTCCAATATTAAGTCCTAAGTATGAACCCACTTGAACCTAAAATCTCAAGTTGAGATGTTGTAGGTCCAACTTGCTTATTAACTGCTCTATGTTACTCTCAAAAACGGAAATGGGATAATTATCCTACTCTTGACCTCAACAAGAAGAAATGTTTGTCAATGATTGTTGTGTAAAAAAAAAATATTGCCAAGCGTTTGTTGCCTTTGATGGTTCATTCAGACTGACTGGCACAAGTACGTCGTTGCACTTTAATTCGCTATCTGGGTCAACAATGCAAATACAAGCAGCTCAAGTAGATGTTTTGTTTGGCATTATAGGCTAAAGCACAAGTGTGTAAGATAGCCCTGATGCTATTCTCAATTCGGCTCTCATGAATAGTATCACATACACTGATTGTAGCGTATTAGAAGCTCAACGTGAACTAGACTTTCCTTTTTAATCGCAAGTCTTTATATGATAGATTATCCAAATTAAATTTATTTTCATAATTGTAGCTTTGTTAAAGTTGACAGAAGTCACTTCGGTAAGGTATATAGACCTGCTATTAGCAATCTTTGAACAATATATAAAGTGCATGATCATATTCAACAAAAATATACATATACATATATTTACAGAGTCCAAAAATAAATCAACAAATATGCAAACACAACACATTTTACTATATTTAATTGAAAAACTGATTTTAAAGTTGTTAAGAAATGTTTTTTCTCGCGCCAAATTTTCAGTCATTTTGTGAAAGTTGATGGCCAAATGGAAAAATAAAGTGCATGATATCAAATTCTATTCACGCTAACGATTGTATTATTCATTAATACTCAACACTATAATTTATAATAACTAGGTTTGTTGATAGTTGCACGTTGCGCGATTTGCAACGCTTTGTAGATAAATCACATTATTAATCATTTTATCACATTATTAATCATTTTACAAAGTAATATATTTTGTATTTAATTTTAAGATACATAAATAACGAAAACAGAAGCTTAATGCATGTGACATGAGCTGGAAAATTTCTTTCTATACCATATTTTGTTTGTAGTAAGCGTTATGCAACCATTTTATACGTTTTATAATGTATTGTAGATAAATATCAACATTGACTCGTTTAAAACATAATGTGTATTTGTATGAAATTTTGAGTTGAATAAATAATAGTAATAAAAATTTATTACATGTGATTGAAATTGTTTTCTGATGACTGTGTTGCGAGGTCAAAGATCTCTTTGTAGATCACATTTTTATGTCCCGTGTCTTTTCATTTCCCCATCTAATATAGGAGACATGACTGGGACTTTAACAGTGAAAAAGGATAAGAGAAACAGAGGGAATTAACTCGAATAATTTTAATAGAGTTCTTACCTTTATTAAGCACGGACATCGCTCAAATGTTGCTATACCATTTGAACATTCGATATTTCAAGACCCGAAAGATTATAGAATTTATAGAGAGATCATATATAGGAATTGGGTCAGACAACTACGATTTGACTATCACATGTTGATAGTGAATTTTAGGTATTAGTCTCCTTTTATTGTGCCAAAAAAAAAAAAAAAAGAGGGAAGGAGTTTTCGAGAGGGGTAAACTAGGTCATTGATTAATCGAACAACTGAACAAAAATTTCTTGAAGTAAAATCCAATTTGGCATGAAGGATTATCAGCCATCTCTACCAAAATCCATCAAGAAATTTATGACACAAAAACAACCTAATTTTACCATAATTATTTTCTGTAAAAAGAATTAATCAGAATTAATCCAATGCAATTTGCTTGTGAACACTCACTGCACGCAATAAACCAATACAATTAAGTCATCACTAAAGGAGTGCTGGTGGATGTGGCGCTGGAAGACCCCTTATGACACAATCAAAACTATTTAGATCGCAAAACCATAAAGAGGCTATGGAAGAATTTCAGCCTGCTACACAAAGAATTTAAACTCCGACCAGGGGAAAATAAAAACTTTACAATTCAAAAACCTGCTCCAAGATGTGACTCATCCATTAATCACTACTCATTTTACAATCCTCCCGTACTGTATTCTTATATAACTTATATTTTATTCTAAGCATAAAATTTAAAAGAACGTTTTCCTAGTTAAACTAATTTCCCTACACATTCCAAACAGCTGAGGCACGGTAAGGATGAACAACAGTACCACAATAGCATCAGTGAGATGATAGTGTTAAATTTTAAATTTTGGAATCACCTCAAGGATATTCACACAAACGGTGTTGGCAATGGCCTTTGCCAGTAGATTTTCCCCGGCAATAATAGTTAGGTTGGTTATTATCGCCTTGGAGTTGAAAGTGAGTTCAAATAAGGCACCCCTGTACAGAGTCACGAGCTCCAAAATCTGTTGCTCCAACTGTAATTGATGCTGCGAATAAGGTCCTCGCACTGAGTCGTCCGGTGAGGTAAATCTGGAAGAAGCTGAACATTGAAATAACGAAAAAATCACTTGATTAATGAAAGCGTAAAATTTCATAATTAAACTAAGTTAAAAACAATTAAAGGACTCACCTTTTGGGCAAAAAGATGATAAAAGAGAGGGGACGGATGATCCGAATGGGTTTTAGGTGAGGTACTGTATGTTGCTGCTACTATTTAGTATTTAGGACTTCTACACGTATATGAAAAAGTTTGGAAAGAAATTAAGAATTTGATTTTGTGATAAGATAAGTTTTTGATTGTTGCTCAAATATCAGATCTGTCACGTTGAAATAGCATAATTTATGTAAACAAAATTTGAGTCAAGATGAAACTTATCTTATTTGATTATTATTATTTAAAACTATTACATATAAAATTATTATTTAAATTTCAAATTAACTAAATCACATAAACAAACTCACAAAACCCTAGCCCACCATTCCCTCACTTCCGCCAGCCACTCCTAATTTTTTCTCTCCTCTCCTTCATTCCCCCAGCCGTGATTAATTCCCCCAGCCATGAATTTACGAATTCACAACAGAAAGAGGCTGACACTAATGAATAGATAGTCAGGGCAACATCACCGGAGAGGGCTGATACGTTCATGTCATATTGCCGGATTGACTTCGTCTCTCGAAAAGAATATAGAACACAGAAATTCAAGGAGGAAAAGATAATATTTTACAGATGCCGCGGACGTCAAAGATGATGAAGAGGATGACCGGACGCCGATGATGATGTTTGACACATGCTGGACGTCGCGTTAAAAAATAAATTATTTAATTCAAATAAATTATTTAATTCAAAATATAATTAATGGTAAATTTATAAAAAGACAGTTTTACTAATATTTTATTACTGTTTAATGAACGACCAATGACTAAATGATACGTGTCAGTCAAGTCAATTTTAGAGCAATTGACAGACACGTCACTACCCCATCTCCTTTCCTTTAATAACTAGTGATGCGCGACCCTGGCCCAGTCTATCTGTAGATTTTAGAAATGTTTATATTTGAAAAAAAAATAAAATTTTATATTTGGAGTGATATATTTAGAAATGTTTGAAGGATTTAGAAATGTTTTATAAGTGTGATCATAGAAATATTTGTATTTCACAAAAAAAAAAATTGTATTTCCCCATGTATGTTTTAGAAATATTTTATAAGTGTTACTTATTAAATATAAATAGACTTAAACGAATATATGTGTTGAAGTAAATGTTAGACAAAATATAAAAGCATCCTAATAAGTTTAAATATTAGTAAGATGATTTATTGATATTCTCCATTGGTCGTACCAAATCAATACTTAGTTTTGGAGATTTTTAATACCTTTGTAATAAATTTCATCCGAAGAGTATACGTTTAAAACCAAATTTGCACTTTGTAACAAAAACCTAATTGATCAATTTAATTTAGACTCTATAATTAAGAAAAGAAAACTACTCTAATTGAATGAAACATAAAGAAAAAATTTAAAAAGAAAACGTGTCACGTAAAGTGCAAAGGGGGATTAGTAATTTAGTTATGGTTAGACAAAAGGGTAATTTAGTACTTTCTTCATGTCACGTGGAAATCATAGGAGGTGTTTAAAAGGGAGGTATTCATTTCTAATATAGTAGGATATACTAGGTTCGGGACCCGTGCGTTCGCACGGGTTAGTGAGACACTATTGTCTAACGTTTTATTATTATAAACAACTCAGAAACAAAAATGTCATATATATATCTATGTAATTCTTTCATCCTAAATGATTTTTCAATTTCGATTTTCACATAAACTATAAAATTATTTTGAGACACGGAAGTATATCTCTAATATTACAAATTATTTCATAATAATATGTGCTAAGTACATTTGTTATAAGCCAAATAAATTTAAAAAAAAAACAAAGAGAAAAAAGAAAAATGTTATAAGACTTGGGGACAAAAGGAAAGAAAAGGACTCAGAAACAAAAATGTCATATATATATATATGTACATATATATATGTAATTCTTTCAGCCTAAATAATTTTTCAATTTCGATGTTCACATAAACTATAAAATCATTTTGAGACACGGAAGTGTATCTCTAATATTACAAATTACTTCATAATAATATGTGCTAAGTACATCCGTTATAAGCCAAATAAATTAAAAAAAAAAAACAAAAGAGAGACAAAAATATTATAAGACTTGGGGAAAAAAGGAAAGAAAAGGATCTAGTACTTTGACAGATGACGTGATGAATAAATTTGGTTCAAACTAATTCCTTGCAAGAGTCAATATATACTAAGATATTGACGATTTTTTTTTGTGCCATTGTTTAAAATAAAGTGATGTAATAATGAAATGAAGTACTGGTGTAATACATTATATCATCGTAACAATAGTGTCTCACAAAAGAACTTCTTCTTTCAAGATGCTAAAGAAATCAGAATCAGATTGCTATAAGGCATTCATCACGGACTAAAAAAATCAGAACAAAGTTATTACACAAAACTTGGAAGGTGTTGAACTCATTCGTGCTTCTTCATTCATGGTAATCATAATTTACAAAAGAACTCAGAACCAAAACTATTAAACTAAAGTTGGAAGGTATTGAACTCGTTAATGCTTCCTCATTCATCGTCATCAATTAATGCAACTTCACCAATGACACTTTTTTGTCTACCATGGAATTGAAGACATCAATCATCAATGTATGCAAGCAGGGAGAACTCTTAAACTCTCTAGAGCAAATAATGAATGATTAGTAATTCAAATTTACTGGAATAAAAACCCGAAGTATATTTGTATTCATATGAAAGGAAGATATAGGAAAGGAGAATAGTTTTTGGAAATAGGCTAACAATATATAACTATAGACCTTAAAAAGTAACTGATACCCTCACACATTTACATTAGTAACACAATTGACAATATTACGAGGCTGAATTTTCAAACTTTATACTCCAACAGCTGAAACTTTACAAAACAAATTCACATGTGAATAATGGATACATTCAACTAAGTATGTATTCAAGAGATCATTCAAAACCGAAAAACACAAAATTCGAGTGAAAGATAGCAAAAGTCATGTAGATAAGTAGTTATAGCTCGTTCAAAAGAATCTGATGATGTTCGATAGCGTCGGTGGCGTGTCCTTCCTCAAATTTGCCGGACTGACTTGTCTCCAAAATTTTATACTTTTTAAGTATGAACGGTAAACGAAAGACAACTACACTTGAAATAAAATTCCACCAATTACAATGTAATCAAACGAAACACTTAAATATCAATCAATAGAGCGAGACGAGTAATACCTTCACGTTTGGCAAATATATTGATCCAAAAGACTACTACAAACTTATGGAAAATCAATGAAGAAAACAAGTGCCAATTTTTTTTGACTGATTTCCATGGAAAAGAAAAACAATCAGATTGTAACAGTACAAGCATCTAAACTTGGATTCGGGTTATCCAACTTAGTACCTAAGCAAAGATTCAAAAAAGCATTGACATCAGTTTCAAGATATCCGATCATGTCTTCGATTCAAGTTCGTACAAATGAGGAATAAGAAACAAATGAGACTCACATATATTTGCAAGATGGACTGCAGAGCATAGCTGATTTATGAAACGTGGAGATGTAACCAGTACATTTGCAATAGGCATTGGCCGCAGACTCAAAGTTGAATTGAACAGAGGAGGCAAAACCTCAAAAGGGCTTGGCCAAGTTAAATCACAACAACTGTCAGATAAAGGTTATTCAAAGATCTGAACCATCCACTGAGAAGCGTTTGATGAAATTAAAAATGAAAACACGCGTTTTTATAATTTCATTACGAAAACAGAATGAAGAGCTTTCGATTTTATTTATTTATTTTGAAACATCACTTGAACTGAACCGTGCACTCATGAGGAAGCTGCAATTAATGAAAACAAAATTCACTAATAAAAAAGAAGCAGTATCATTTGGGTTGGGACTGTGGCCCGTATTTCTATGGATTTTAATCTTAAAAATTCAATTAGATTATAATCTTTAAACATCATAAGTACCTGATTCAATAATTGATGCCAATGCCATTCCACAGGAAAGACAATAATAAGTCATTCCACAGGAAACAAAAAAAACTACTTGCGGTTAATTTCACTTTGGTAACGATGAAACAAAAAATATATAAAGAAGTGCAACATCATGTATAACAGTCAATAAAAAAATTGGTGTTAAATTGTTTTAATATGTGTTTGATAGATCGAGTTCCAAGCCGTTGTAGAAAGCCACGACCATATTTGATGAGAAAAATTATTCTATATAGAAAGTGTATCTTCTTTTTTTACTATATTAATACAGCGTTAAAATATTATGGCTCCTCTCTCTCTCTATGTGTTTGTGCATGGAAGATTTTCTCATTGAATAATAAATTAAACAGTATCAATTTAAACCTTAAAGATTTCTTCGTTTACAAAAAGTCAACGCTATTTTTTAGAAAAAACAATAAGTCATTATTTTTTTTAACTTTTCATCCACAAACTAAAACACACATACATATGGCATGGACGGTTAGGTTACATCCTAATCAAAAGTAATCGCTTCATAGCTTTCCAGCAGCGCAAAAGAGGGAAAATCATTTGAATAGTACATAAGGGAAAGTATAAATATACTTGGCAATTGGGGTCCTTGAAATTACGTCAATATCGCTTATTTGATTGATATCATAGATCTATATATACTCGCTTCATAACGTCAGTCAGCTTGGTTGTTGATTCTCGCTTCTTGGTTCAAGTTTTGTTTAATGCATAAATCGGGAGAAAACTCTAAATTTAATTGGCAAATCTCTTTGGAATATTGACTTCTCTTTACGATTTTTTTTTTTTTCCTCTCTTCATCTCTTTTAATTCTTATAAGCAGACTTTGTTCAGTCATGTTGCGAAAAAGGTAGATCTCGACAGCAGTAGTCTATTCCACTGCGTTCTTCTCTCTAGATCACCATGCATGGGCAAGATTTTGTGCTTGTCAAACAATCGAACTAGAAAGTTTCGCATACTTTGTCTTAATCGATCTCATCATTTTATGAATAGAACTAGATTGTGTTCAGTTATATATGTGATGGAACTTCCATCAGTTGGATGATTCAAACCAACACTGGAAACTTCATAACCACAGTCAACAAATGCGTGAGTTGTTATATAGCATGAACTAGTTAAATCAAATCAGTCGGATTTAAACAAGTTAAAAAGACAGTGACTCATGTTTTTCTTTCACGAATTCATCCATTCAACCCCAATGTAATTAACTTGAGTAACGTTGCAAACTATGTCTAAATATTAAAAAAAAAAGGGACTAAACGAGCTACATCACACGCCTAAATACTAAATATTAAAGCCATTATGGTAGTATTGCAGACAAAAAACTAACTGTAAAGGTCTTCGTCGTCTTCAGCTCCAGCATTGGAAATTGCAAACGGGTCAGCTGCGGCTGTCCCGGCGTCCGCGGTAGATGTTTGGTTGAACCGGAATTCGGAGCCGAAACCTCTAGACTGGTGGAGAGTTTGGGCGAAGGCCTGGTATTTTTGTATGTCCGCATCAGTAACACTTCTACGGGCAAACCTCATTGACTCCTCGAAGTGAGATGCCTTGATTTCGGAAACTTCATCTTCTTCCTCCACCTCCATAGCATCAGGATTTTCTAGTCTCTTCCTCTCTTTTTCCTTGCCTTTCTCGATATTTTCCCTTACCGCATTCTTGCAGGCCCGTTGGCAAATCTCTGTAATATCAGCACCACTGAATCCTGGAGTGAACTTGGCTAGAGCCCTCAAGTCCACATCCTTAGAAACAGGGGATTTTCTGAGGCATGCCTTGAAAATCTGGTGCCGTGAATCTTCATCTGGGAGCGGAATGTAAATCAATTGATCCAATCTTCCAGGCCTCAACAGCGCTGGATCAATTATGTCGGGTCGGTTGGTTGCGCCAATGACGAAAACGGTTTTCTTGGCGTTCATTCCATCCATCTCTGTCAGGAGTTGATTCAACACTCTATCAGCGGCACCTCCAGCATCGCCAACACTGTTTCCTCTCTGCGTCGCAATCGAATCCAACTCATCAAAGAAAAGGACACAAGGAGCCGATTGTCGAGCCTTGTCGAAAATCTCCCTGACATTGGCCTCGCTCTCTCCAAACCACATGGTAAGCAGCTCAGGACCCTTGATACTGATAAAGTTTGCCTGACACTCATTCGCAATCGCCTTGGCCAACAAAGTCTTACCACATCCAGGCGGCCCGTAGAAGAGGACTCCCTTGGACGGAGACATTCCAAACTTCTCAAACTTCTCGGGATGTTCGACCGGATACTGTACAGTCTCTTGAAGTTCTCTCTTGACACTCTCGAGGCCACCAATATCTTCCCAGCTGACATTCGGAACTTCAACCACCGTCTCACGAAGGGCAGAAGGGTTGCTTGTGCTGAGAGCAGTCTGAAAGTGATCATTGGTAACCGCCATGGAGTTGAGGATCTCGGCATCAATGGAGTCGTCATCCAAGTCAATAACGTCCATCTTCTCCCGGATGCACTGAAGCGCAGCCTCAGTACACAAAGCTGCCAAATCAGCGCCCACGTAACCATGTGTATCTTTAGAAACTCTTTCCAAATCCACACCTTCATCGATCTTCATGTTCTTGGTGTGGATTCTGAGAACCTCAAGGCGGCCGACTTCATCAGGAACACCAATGTCTACTTCCCTATCAAACCTCCCAAACCTTCTAAGGGCAGGATCAATGCTGTTGGGACGATTTGTAGCACCAATAACGATGACATGAGCACGGGACTTGAGTCCGTCCATAAGTGTCAAAAGCTGTGAAACTATTCTTCTTTCTACTTCCCCGTTGGTCTTCTCTCGCTTGGGAGCAATGGAATCGAGCTCGTCAATGAAGATGATAGCCGGAGCATTCTTTTCGGCTTCCTCAAACGCCTTCCTTAAGTTTGTTTCACTCTCCCCGGCCAATTTCGACATAATTTCGGGACCATTGATAAGGAAAAAGAAAGCGCCAGTCTCATTAGCCACAGCCCTGGCAATCAATGTCTTCCCAGTTCCTGGAGGACCGTAAAGTAGGATCCCTTTTGGAGGCTTCACCCCGATGGCTTTGAAGAGCTGCGGATGCCTCAATGGAAGCTCAACCGATTCCCGAATCAGCGCCAGTTGTTTCCTAACGCCTCCAATGTCATCGTAACCGACATCGTTCAAACTTTCTTCATCCTCCCTTCGAACCGGTTCGCCCTCGCAAAAGATCTCCGTATCAGGAGCTACCACACAATATTCAGCCGGGTCGGTTTCGACCACCTTGAATTCAACGCTTCTCATCCCTCCCCTGACCAGAAAAAGGTCACCCTTCCTGACGGGTCGGTACGAGTCAAAGAAGTAAGGCTTCAAATACGCATCAAACAGGTTTCCGGTGATTCCTTCAATGCTGTCGTCAATTGGAAGGACGTGAATTCGTTTCCCGTACTTGACATCAGGGCAACTGTGAACTGAAACAACGTCTCCGAGCCTGACCCTGAGGTTGGACCGGACCACCTTATTCATCCTGATTTTCGATCCGTCGCAAGTCTCGTCGGCGAGGATTATAGCTACTGTATCCCGCCTTTTCTTTCCCTTCAAGAGGATAGTGTCTCCCCGGAAAATATTCAGCTTCTCCATCGTTTCCGGGTTCATGGAGACGACGGAGTTATCATCGTTAGTAGCCTCGTCCACGACCAGGCGGTTCGGCGACTTCTTGCGTTCTAAAATTGCCGTACTAAAATCCCTTTTAGTGCCTCTTGATTCGGAGGGTTCATGATTACTCATTGTGGATTTGATGAATCAATTAACGCTATACAGAACAAGTTTAATTGTCTGAATTGAATCTATAAGAAAAAGATGAGAAAATATGTGGAAACGATGTAGAAAACATATGGGATATTGGCGGGTTTATATAGGGGAGAAAACTTGTCTGTTTCATTGTAGGAGTCGTATTACCTATTACGACTTGGATTTTCTTTTGTTTTATTTTTCAATTTCTTATTTCCCCTTTTTCCTTTGCCTATTGGAATTCGGTAAGCTTCTAGTACTTTCTAGTGAAGAAATGTTTTATATATTCTTTAATATTTACGAAGAAATATATTTTCCACATACAATAATTAACGTCCAACGTTAATGTTCAAACTTCAAGCTTTCAAAGAATACATCACATAGAAATGGACAAATTTAAGAAATCCCTGAAGCATATAGTACCTTAATGTACCCGGGATAAGAGTGTTAATTTATGTTTGGATTAGTACTGACGGTTCAAATATTTTGAGATTGTTACAATCTCTTACTTATAGTAATAGTAGATATGGGTCCTGAGATGAACCACAAACAAAACAAATTAGTCCAGAAGATTCGTATTGACAAGAAACATGAACTACCATCTTCGTGTTCTCTTTGTGTTTTTCATCATTTTGTTAAGCATTTTCACGCTTTCTCAAGGTTATTAAGAACAAATCCAGTATATCTCTCTCTATTCCAATTTTAAATGTCAAAATAAAACTTTAAAATACATAAAAAAACGACCGCTACCATATAAATTCGATCGAAGGAGTTTAACATTTATTACTCTTTTTTTTTTGATTTAAACATTTATTACTCTAAGTATAGATTTTGCATCGTCTTTTTTCTTTTTTATAATTTAACATATGTATGTTTGATGAATCCGTAAGAATCATTGTTTTTTTGGGGAAATAAAATTTGTTTAACATCTTGTTTTTTTTTTCCACCTCCGGAAACGATTGCCCTCGTTATCCATCATGCCTTCATGGCCCGACAATACCATCCGTCCCATCGATTCCCAATTCACATGTGGTAAGTTTTGCTGTCACTGACTCTTTTTCTATATCAGTTTTAATAATTATAAAGGAAGGAAGGAAAAATAATTTGCAACTCTTCAAAAAAAAAACGTCGATATAGCATATGGTTATCGAAATTCTAAACACACAATTAAAATTATTGTAGTTGTCCAATTTGCAACATTTAATCTCGTATAGTATTTAAGTGTACGAATTCAGCTAGATAATAAGTAATATTATTTTCATATTATTTACAGGGAACAAAAGCTATTTGCCTGAATTGGTTGGAATGGAAGGGCAATTACTGTCATTTTTGGATGTCGACGTAAAACATCCGCCGATGGCTGGTCCTTAATTAGTGATGACTGACGAATCGATATGCTGTGATTAGTGAAGTATTGATTCTCATTATTGTTCTTCTAAATATTAATGATGATGCAACCTTTCTTATCTTTCATCGGGAAAATCTCTAAATATGTACAAAGTTTAATACAACCTTCTATTATATAATACAACCTTCTGCCGAAAATACTGTTTGCTAGATGAAATTTTGATAATGTATAGCTTTGTCTTGCGACGCTTTCTCTTCTTAATAAAAGATGCCCGTTATGGTAAAAACAGTAAATTTTGAAACAATAAGAAAATAAATATGGAGAAAAATAAAATAAAATTTCTCGTTATATTCAAACTTAATGGCCTTAATGTTAATCTCCTTAAAATTTTTTCAAATATGGAATAAATGTGTAAGTGCCGAGATATAATTAAACCTTTTCTCACCAAAACTACATCAAGTCAAGTTTAAATTGTTTTGACTAACGCTTTGCGTTAACTAAATGCGTTTAATGAGTAGCATTGTTCGAAAGGTTCAACGGGTTGACTCGATTAAGTTTAGTCGAACCATCAAAAAGTCTTTGGGTTGGAATAAGGCTGTGAAATTGCGGCATGACTCTGGAGAAGCGTGAAATTGAGGCACATTTATTGGATGTCGAGAGTGAATTTCTTCTGTTATGATAGTTGAGTATTTTAGGCTTTGGCCTCCTTCATTGGATTAAAAAAAAAAAAATCATCTTCGATAAAAATAACCCAATGACCTAAATAATGATCTCCAAAATAAATTTTTACATGTTATATAAGGCCACATTTGTTGCTTTAGAGGACATGGAACGAATTTGTGTAATTTTAATTACCATGGAAGTACTTATCTAATTTTCAAAGTTTAGAGTAAATTTACAAACTGATGTAAATATAAGGACGTATTTGCTCATATTCCCTAATATTTTGTAATCAAACCATCAACAGTTTCTGACGGTTATAAAATCGAAAACGCCGACGTATTTTAGGGAGTTTGTTTATTAAAGGTTCAAACTTTAAACAATAATTAATCGACCCTTCACTAGACAGAGCGGTTACAAATTTAAAGAGTCAGCGATTCTCTTATACGGGTGATTGACCGCTTAAACAATTAGTTTATTTTCTACATCAAATCCATCAGGATAAAAAGCTTTTACAAATGACTTCCCTCCATCATGCACGAACATAATCATCCATTTAATTGACGTTAGAAACAGTATGAGTCACATAAACTTAGTTATGTTTTCGTTTATAATTGAATTACATGCCAGAATAACAATTGTGTGCGTCTGTACTAAAACCTTTCCCCAAACAAAAGAAGAATCGTAAACCACATGATTTTTTTTTTTCAATTTAATCACACAACTAGCCAGTACTAATCTCCTTGAGAAACTTGTAAATATAATGTAATTTTTTTTGTTTTATTCTTATTCAAGGGCTTACACGACCATATGAGGCATTTGTTATGTCAGTACACTTCCGGGAGTTTAGACATTAATTCTCCACTAACATAAACTAGAATGACACGTAAGAATATTATTCATTTCTAAACACTAATTAAGTATAGTAGCTAGGTTGCTTCGTTAATTAAATTCTACCCAGTTAAGAACTAATAGATTGCTTCTTTAATTAAATCTACCATATATGTTGGATTTCTTTAATCACTAAGGCCTACACATTTGAGTACCAATTAATAGACTGTTTGTTTGATTCTACTCTATATCTTGGATTCTTACTAAGGCGAATTGCGTGCTTGAAACACTCTGTTAAGAAGGATATCAGGTTGTTCTGGTTGAGGGAAATTTTTTTTTTTTTTTTTTTTTTTTTAACTAAGAATAAAAAACCTAGCCCTCAGCTATCTATCGCTCGCAAAAAACCAATGTTTTTTTCCTCCTACCATGGATTAGTAATGTCGACGGTGGGTGTGTGAAGATGTATTTCAGTTTCAAGATATGTTATACCACTTCATATTTTAACAAATTCGCACTTCATCTTTATTAGAATGCATGTATAGATGTACTTAACTCCTCCTCCTCGTATAAATGTATAAAATAGATTGTCATTTGTTTGCTTGCTTTTTTATTGTATTATAATTGCTTTATCATCATGTTTATTAGAACCATATAATATAGTAGAAACTTTATATTATATCATTTGACATTTATAATATAAATGATCATTTATATATATATATATATATATATATATTACATTTTGGAACAAAAAAAAGAGTTATATATGGACTGGTATAACAACAGTGCAGGGTTCATTTAAAAGCTACTTAGAACTAATCTAGTTACAAATTATCTACAAAGTTTTGCTAGTAGAGTATATTTGAATTTCCAGATTTAACTAATAAATCAGTTGATTGTGTATAAGTCTAAGATAACTTGTGTTTTGAAAATTTCCTTATTTAAGGATTTACATGAAATGGGCTCTCTCTAATGTTTGTTATATTTCGGGTTTGAAAGAACTTGCAGTTTGTACAGTAACACTATTCATAATGTATATATAAGTGGGTAATGTCTGGTTAAATCTTCATCCCGTACACACTTAACCAAATTAATCTTTAAGCAATCAAAATCAAGAATGAATAGGTTCTTTAAAATTGTGTGCGTTTTGGTTGTCAGCTTCTGTTGACGAAGAAAGGGAAGTAAGTTTATGTGGAGTTGGAAATATTGGTGCCGCCCCAGGAGCAGTTCCGTCTGCAAGAATGTCGGTGTGTGAAGTTTGCGCTGAGTAAGAGAAAGCGAATTCTGAAGGTTTAATCCGCAGGAAACCTCTTTGAAACTTGATCCTGCGCAAACTTTGTACACCGGAATTCTTGCGTCACAGAAAAGGAATTATCACAGTTCAATCAGCAGGAAATAGGCGGGTCTTTTCGACGATCCGTTTCTAGTCTTGCACCATGGTTAATCACAGTTGATGCTTGCACAATAATTCGCAAATTTCTGGGCCCAATAGTACTCTTAAGTGGAAAGATACTATATGTAAGTATTATTGTCCACAACAAACTTTTTCTTCCTTGGCTATAAGAAGTTTGCCAGTTCAATTATATCGTCTGGTTTACTCGCGTAACGGGGCAATGGATAAATGGTTTCGAGTCAAATGGAATGGAATTCCGATCACGTATTCGTGGATTACAATGTTCTTTTGTTAGGAGCATCAATGGCGTGTCCTCATATCACCGGCTGACGCAGCAGATTATGTGAAATCATTACATCTCTGCTGGTCTCCTTCCGCCATAAACTCCGCGCCAGTTCTAGTACCTAAAGTGCTAAACCGTGGATTTTATCTCTGATGGAGACCGGCAGCCATTCCAACGGTTAGATAACATTTTCTCTCATGACTTTTAGCATAGTTATTGTACCTACGTTCTAAAGGAATAGGGATTTAATTTTTGCTCTATTAATAGTACTCTAACATCCCTTTTACCCTATTAAAGTAGAATACAGGATGTTGATGTGGCAGATTCTTATTAAAAATTTTTGGCTCCAAATGCACCATATTGCATTAACCATTCTGCCACGTGTCATTCTTTTTTAAAAGAAAAAAAAAATTCTTATCCGGAAAAAATAAAATCTACTTTACAAAAATAGCTACACAATTTTAACTCATAACATTTATCAT